AGAAATTCTAAGAGACAATATCTACAGTCACAATATGGAAATAACCCAATCTGCTGCCCTCTTAAGTACAGACTAATTCTTAGAGCATAATCTCTTTGCTCTGCATCTTTCTGTGCTCATTTGTTTTTTTTGTCTGTCACCGGAGCAGTTCACCAAAATTTACAATGAACAAGAATTAAGGTTATGGGCCTGATCAAATATGAACTTCCTGCTTACTGCAGTGCAAGTGAAACCCAAAATCTATTTTGATTTATAGCATCTAAGGAGTTCTTGTCAATTTTGCCCAAAGCCTTTTCGTACGTTGAATTTAAAAACAAAATTCACCATTAGTAGAAAAGTCTTTCTCCCACTTCCCTGCTGTAGGGAGACAGTCCTCCAGAGAAGGATGGAAATGGAGAAACAGCATGTCTCACACTCTACAGACTTCCTAACAGCCAACTTCTGTGCTCTCCTTGAACAGGCCAACTCAGAGAAATACTGAGGAGAGATTTAACAAAGCTACCCCAGTCAGTGCTTTTCACAACATATGCTGTTGTAGGATCCATCAATAGCTGTACAGGGCCTATGTTACAGGCCACTGTTCAATTTGCCTTATGTTGTGAGTGGAAATGTAATCCCACATTACTTTCCCAAACTTCTGTGAAGAGTTCTGTTACTACAGACTTTTGAGTAAGCAACTGTAAATTCCATTCTAAAACAAATTACAAGTTACACTAACTTGTTTGGCTTAACTATAGATAAAAAAATTCCCCATATCTATTGTTGCTCAGGTTATATTTACTGGATGCTGAAACACAACTGATACTGCTTTATAAATAGATCCATTTTTGTGCATTTCATCTAAGATATAAATTATACCATTGACAATTCCAACCTACTGGAAAGTTTCCAAATGGGCCTGATTTTCATACACTACAATAACTGCTTATTGCAGAGGGAAGAAGGTTAAGAAATGTTTTCTAAAAGTAAAAAGATTTTCTGCAAAGATTTTCTGATGTTCTCTTCTTAAGTTTGCCATGTTTAATTACTATTCATGTACTGTGTGTTTGGAATCAGATGCTGATTGGTGTCTCCTCCTTTCCTTTCCTTGGGAAAATTGCCCTATATATGGTAGAACACTTTCTGGTTTTCGTTATCATTGAATTCAAAGGTTATCAGCTATTGTAGCTATTTATACTTACGAGTAGGTAATCAGAATTATCACTGGTTGGTAACAGTTCTTCAAGCAAAAGAAACTTCACTTGATTGATTTTTTTTTGTTGTTGTTGTAGTAGGATCACATTTTTCCAACGGTTTTTCAAGGACAGTTCAGTTCTTGCAGCTTTAATATGTAAGGAAATATTTTTGCAGCCAACAAGAATGACAGTTTGTCTAAATAGAAAATAGATTATTTTTCCAAATCCACAAAAATGTTAAACAAATCACTGCTAGATCATGTGCAAGACCTGTCTTGCACAGTTGCAGCTACTGATGTTTGACTACTAAAGTAAGATATATTTTGATACAGAGAATGGGTGCAGACAGAGGTTATAGGTTTATATCCCTATTTCTCACAGGTCAGGGAAAACAGTTGCTTTGAAAATATAAAATGTGTTAAGAATTCATGAACAAAGGTCATGAAGAGGATAATTTCAGTTTGAGACTGGTCTTGTTTCATCTATCAGTTTGTTTTCTTACTCTTAAAATAATCTCAGTCTAACATAAAAAAACCAAACCAACAACCCAACCCAGGAATAAATCACAAAAAATTGTTTATCAATGAAATCTACAGAAAAGTTACCTGAGCAAACCACACTGTTAAAAGAAACATGTTTTGTCAACAGCTTCACAAAACTTGGTGGAAATTTATGTTATATCTACTCTTATAATCATGATATGAGATAAGCTGTGGCTTACTCTACAGAAAGATTGATCGACTTCACAGAGATGTTACCTGGTTCATGATGTATTTACTCTTGTAACTTCCATCCCTAGGTTAAGGTTATAAATGGTTAAATGCAACATTTAAAACAGATTAAGTTTTTTTGACCTAAAAAATGTTTCCATCTTGATAAACATACTGGGACACCTGGAGAATACCAGCTATTATATACCACATCAGAAGATAATCATAGTAAAGCTATAAGCTCTAACAATAAATGGGAAAAGATATAAAATAAAACTGATCATTTGACACTGCCATTTCATCTTATGCATGACCACTGTGGAGACCAAGTTACGCCATAGAAAAAAATTATCTATTCCACGAAAATTAATATTAACTGAGTAACATTTTAAAGCATGGTAGTACCCAACACTAATATGGTTCCTTTGTACCTTAGTCTAAAGAGTACCTAGATGTAAGATTTCTTCAAGCTATTCATTGCTAAAATCCAGCCAAAACAGTACTAGGTTACATTTTCCACTTTCCCTGCACAGTGTAGCATTTAGACTTAAGATTTAAGAGCATACTGGAAATACAGACTACTTAATGTAAGAACAAAACTTTCTGGTATGATCGCATGTTTATGTTGCATAAGATAATACAATCCATCTGTTGGGAAAATCCTTGCTGAATATTGTATCTGCTTTAGCAATAAACATGAATAGAAATCAAGATTATTTTTTAAAATCCAAAACTGAGTAACAGTGAGCCTTACAAAGAAATATGTCTAGGAACCTGAGGCAAATTATACATGTTAATGTTGGAGTCACTGAGAACAGTTAACACAATGTAACCAAATGTCAACTGGAATATTTTGCAGTAACTGACTGAATATATGAAGAGGTCTGTGTTTAATGAATATATGAATGCTTGGTTTCTAAGTTTTCAGCTTCAGATGGCGAAGATTAAGTGCTAAGGGTGTTACTGTAAATGTTTAAGTGAGATGAACATCACTGATTTTCTAATTTTACCACATGGTTTATTTCAGAAGAAAACAAGCACCAGTTAACATAGTTCTCCTGCAAGTCAGTAAACAGTAACACACGAAAACTCAATACAATTTGCTTCTTTGTTTATGTGCAGGATATTTAGTTTGGTTTGCAAAGTATTAGAAGAATAATAAGAACCTCCTGATGGAATACCACAACTAAATTTCTCAAAAGCCACTCAGTTAATCTCAGTGTTGAATCTGGCTGTTTCAAATTATTGTAATGTATAATAACAGTCTTATTGACAATATAGATGCACAGAGCCAAAAAAAGCTAGAAATAGTGGCCAAAACGATGAACTAAGCGCCAGCCCAAATGACAACAAACATATGGCCATTAACTGAAGAATGGAGGGGTTTAGGAATGCAGCTGTCTGTGGTCTCCTAAAAGTTCCAGAGGAATGAAATGCTGTGAGGATTGGCAAAGCCTGGATGAGAAGTACTACTGAAGATGGTAGGTCCTAAAATGGAGTCAACCAGCAGATCATGTTGGAATTCAGAGATTTCTGTGGTCAGAATATATTCATTCCATTGGCCTCATAATGTACATCAACAAATTAATATTGTATGGATGTCATTTCAAAGCCTACTGAAGACGAAGAGCCATTACTGAAGCCATTAGAGCACAGACGGTTCAAACTATATGCAGATATTCATACTTGCATTTCTGCATTATAGCAGGGTTTTTTTTTCTGTTGAACTGTAATGAATTGTCTCATAATCTATTCCATCTTCTTGCCATTAGCAGGCTTTGAATGTTCACAAATAGGAGCAAAGAACTCATTTTCCAGAGCTTTAATCACACAAAGAGGGAATGCCTAATTCTCTAAATGAAATGGTCTGTGATCACTGAAGCAGAGATTTAATATATCACGGCAAATTAGGTAGATTTTAATAAATTACTTATCTCTCTGAATACTTTACATATGCTTATGAAGAAACATAGCCTGTTTGCAAACAGTGGAAATCCACAGTCTATAAAATCCTTTGAAGAAAATGACAAATAAAAAAGTAAATTAAAAAATGAAATGTATTATATCCTCGTTCTCGAGAGACAATCCTTTTTGCAGCATTGATTCACAGCTCCATTAAAAATATCAATTAAATCCTTCACTGAGATTGGTTAAAAGCTGTAAAATTAACTTTCCATGCTAGACACTGGTTATTCAGATACAACGATTTATTGTATATGTTTGATGTAAGTTCTAAAAGTGACAAAACCCAAATGAAAACACAGTTGCCCGTCCCTACAGCCCAAAGTAGGTGAAGCAAAATCTCACACTTTGGCTTCTTTTTGTGCTTTGACAGATGTTGGCTGAAAGTAAATCTTCTACTGTACAGAAAATGATTGTGCCTGCCCTCCCCCTACTTCAAATTATGGTAACCATAAACAGCTGATTATAATGTTAGTAGAAGGGTAAAAGTTATTTAAAAAAGGTTGCAGTAATTTAATAAGTCCTGCAACTAGCCTAATTTTTTATATTTAATTGATAGGAACTGCATGCATCAAAGAAAACACATACTGAGATTTAATGTGCATAAAATGGATATTAGCATTTTAAAGAGGCAGATTAACACATTAATCCAAGTAATTTTCATATATTGCTTTTAATAAAATCTTCACAGTATAAAATTCTTAATGAGGCTAATCACAGGCATTCCATTTAGCGGGGTGATTAGGGATAACATAAAAGTATTTTTAATCAGTTTTCTAAGGCTTATGGTTTTTTTATTAAAAATTAAAATTTTGACTTGCATTTTTATTACTGTTTTATGTAGGAAAAAATCTTGAAAATGCAAATAAAGCACATCATTCAATCATGTAGGTATTAATTATTTACAAGACGTTGTCCATTGTGGAGAGATTCTTAGCCTTAGGGGGGAAATATAAAAACAAACAGACTGAAAAGTATACAAAACTTTACAACTACAAATCAAGCGTCCCTTCCACATGAATTATACATTAAATACACTGTAAGAATTACAAAGATCTCATCTTTGATGCGCTATCAAGCATGTATTTACACTGGGAGAAGGAACTTCTGTAGGCAAACTTCCTTTCATGCCTCGGAGTCGTCTTCGCGCTCCTCACAGGCTGAACGCGGCGCGTGGAGGGGCCTCCACGGCTACTTCGAGCTCCCCAGTTACTGCACCATCATCTGGTGAATCAAAAACCAGAAAGGGAACATCACAAAACAGCATTAGCAATTTCATTGAAGGGTTTGCTTTTGTTCCGGTAATTTTCGGTAGCATTTGGACAGATTAAAAGGCACCCGGCACACGCAGAGGAGAAATAAATAAAGAATAAAGGAATCTTCCAGTTCAGGTATTTAGCTTACTGGAAACTGAGCACTCTAAGAAGTAGAATGTACATCAATTAAAGTGTTAGTGCTCAAATTACCTTTGAAATAAAGAAAACTATTGGTATAATCATTGCCTATATAAATTAATAATTTTTCTCAATACGTAAATATGAGATGTGGCAATATGTAAATTCAAACTCCATTGAAAACATATATGCGTATTTCTAAATAGTTTTAAGCAAAAACATACCTATTAATGCATTTTCTACACTGTGTAGGACAGGTCCAAATCAGCCTGGACACTTACTAGTACTTAAACAGTAATTGTTTTTCCCAGCTGGTGCAATGCAACATTATTTAAATTAGAAGCTTCTATGTGTTGCAAAATAGTGAGGTACAAACAAAGAAGATAATTCCTCTAGACTAAACTATTTGATTACCTTCATCTTTGTGTATGTGGGTTTTAAAGTAGTATTTTAAATTTCTATTTTACAGAAATTAGCTGACATGATTTGAAACTGCACTCTTTTACAATATCTAAGTAAGCCCAGAGGGCCAGAATCTCTGCTGCTGTGATTAAAACATGCTGCTAAGTCAAAAATGAGGCTTTTTCCCAGTCCTGCATAAAAACCAATGAGGCTGCCTAACATGACTCTAGAAGGAATTTGAATAAAAACAAATAATCTTGACAGCATATTTTCTCAAAGCAAATTATACAGCTGACAAATGGCAAGGTTATGTATTTAGTATATAAACTGGGTTAAGTACTCTGGGACATGCAGTGATACTGCATGTTTCAACTTCTAGGCTGCTGGGACAGCTCAGAAGAGGTTTAGAGAAGAAAAAACATGAGATAAACCTTCCATTATTTACTCTGTTGAAAGAGCTATTATAGGACAGATTGGATGATAATCTTAGAGATCCAAACCATTTTGTATAACCTTGAACAAATCACTCAGTGAACTGTCAACTTCAAGAGCAGACTTTAGGGGACAGCATTGTTTTTACTTATAAGAACAGGAGAACTGTAATTACTGATATCAGAACATTAATTCTATTTTCTTGATTTTCATATTGTCATACTATCTCTGAGGCACATTGGTAGATATGTTGACTATAGTGTTTCTCACCCATCCTCTTGCTAAGACATTCACTTAATTGCTTCAAATTTCATGAAGGCCACTTTCACACAATCAGCAGTGAAAGGAACAAGATAGGAAAAAGACTGTGCTTGGAGTCTCAGAAAGAATGAAAGGTGTTTAAGTACCTTAGAATGACCATATCTTCATGTGGTAGAGTCCTACCAATTTTCCTGTGCCTAAGGAAATTCTTTTTCCCTCAAACCAATATCCACCTCAGAGTATGTGTACAACATTACTTAGGAATTCTATTTATTGTGCCATTACATTTAAATGAAGTCTGCATCCAGATCTTAAGAACAGATCCTTTTACAATGACTTGGGCATGATCTGACATATGTTAGCATAAAATTCATTTCAGTTCTCTGAAAGTTGTAAATTTTCAGAAAATATGCAATGTTATATGTCCTGGATGCAATAGAGTCTTCCCTGGCACCTGCACGGAAGGGCAGAAGTGTGCATAGGAAAAAGAATAAAAGTATTTCTAGCTATTATTATTACTTTCATGGATATAATTCACACAAAGTAAAAACTGGTTCAAATGTTTCATGATTAGGGGAAGAAATGCTCCTCACAATATTGAAGTAGTTGTCATCACATACTAATGATTAGCTTTTAACAGAACAATAACTAATAACAAAAACCAGTCCTTCCTGTAATAATAATTCTCTCAGATGATGATTAGGACTTTTAAGAGTTTTGTGAAAGGTGACTTTCAAGGGTAAAAAATTGTATTTATATCACTAATCAATCTTATCAAATAGGAATTATGACAGTGGGAATTATGGCCATAAAGTACAGAACAAAAACAATCTTCCAGTGAGAGACTACAAAATACCTTTGGAGGAGATGTGCTTTGGTACAACTACCTGGAGAAAAAGTATTGGTGGAGAAAAGATTAACTGGTTCAGCCACAGTAAGAAGTGCATCAAATCTGTATACTGTTTTTCCAGGGTATGGAGATTTGATTTTTTGCATTTTCCTTATTGTGTTCCTGGAACTTTGATGCATACTTTTAGTATTTTAGCTACAGCATGGATGCAAATCATGCATGATAATGGGAATGGATAAGAAAGCCTATTTCTTTCCCTCACTACTCAGCTCCCCGTTGCTGAAGGTACAGGAATTAGACACAGCAGTAGAAGCAGCAAAGTGACATTAGCCTGGCATTCCACTAGGGCTGACTGGAATTCTGGCTATTGCAAAGGGTACCTTGTGTGCTCTGCATCCAGTCATCAGGCTGGTTCCTGCACTGGCAGAGGAGAGGGACTGTTTGTAACAGATTTACTCTCTTCACTGAGCTTTACCACAGTGGAAAGAGGGTTGACACAAAGAGGTAGGAGAAAAACACACTGGTAACCACGTCCCTGCAACCACGGGGAACAAGAAACCCTAAGCAAGGACAATATTTTCCTTCACTGTCTATGAAAGGACCAAGTAGCCCTCTCGAGTCTTCTTACCAGTGTTATAAAAGTGATCCTACGGCCCAGGAAACTGAATATTCCACACCTCCTGCTCACCTCACCTTGCTTTAATGAGTCACAGTGAAGGTTTGGTCACAGTCCCTTCCAGAAGGGTGTTCACTCTAAACTGACACCTTACCAAACCCACCACTATTTCATACTGTCTGGGAAACAGGTTTCATATGGAGGACACAAGCTGGAGGTACTCTGAAGTTATAGCTCTAAATAAGATATAGACTTTAACAATACAGAATTACTGACATAAATTTTAATAAAAATATATATTTGTAGTCCTATTACAATGAAGCATGATGTATAAAATAGAGAATTATAGCACGTGGACATGTCTGGGAAGTTCTTAGGTTTTATGAATGAAGTACTATGAGCTGGGAATGCTCTTTGGCTTTGATTTTTAAACATATTTTAAGGAATAACAGTAGCACACAGTTTTTGTAGACTTTTGCAAAAAAGTGTGGAAACCATTAATTAATATTAAAGAATTTCTTATTGACAAAATGTCAAACAATTACTTTCATAGTAACCCTTGCAGAGAAAAGCAGAAATTCAACAAACAATTTTTAAGCTACAGAAGTTTACAATAAACTGATCTGTAAAACTTACCATCAATGTCTTGTTCAATAATATTTCTTTGCTTCTGGAACATCTCTTTCAAACTGACCAGAGTAAACCTGATATATTCACACTCAAGATCCTGTTCATCTTCTGGGGGATCACTGGCCACACAAATTTTAGGATAAACAAAAAACCCCCCCAAAAAGGAAAAAAAGATATTTTACCTTCAAAAAGGGTTGAAAATCAACTCTAAAACCAGAAAAAAAGGCAAATCCACATTCTATTTTACAAGTGGAACACAAATAAGAGCTCTTTATCAAGTAAATTCAACATTTTCCATGACAAGAATTGTCTAAGACCCCCTTTTTTAAATCCTCCCCTTTTATTTAGCATTATTTAGCTGTACTAGAAGGACAGAGAGGTTTAACCATAGATTTGTAGCCGTATAGAAATGTGCCATTTTTCTTTCCCCTCCCCACCACTCTGTGGTACAATTCTAGTTCACATGGCCATACAAGAAACTATATAAAATATATACTTTTCTTTCGTGAACTTAAATTACACCCATTGCATCCAAGTACGGCTTTCCTTCTAAACACATAATTCCAGTATTGGGTTGGAGCTGACTTGAGTTAGTGGCTTGTGTTGGGGCCAAAAACACCGAGACTGACAAAATGACAGGAATTTAGAGCTAACATTTGGTATGTCTTGGCAATGTTGTTCAAACTGTGAGTGTTTGTGAGCTTTACAGCCTAAAAATGTTACAATAAGCATAATTTCAAATGGGTAACAATCAAGTTGCGTAAAATCCAAGTCTGAAGGAAAGGATGTGTCAGACAAAATACAATCAAATCTTCCTAAAAAGACTTCAAACACAACAACTACTACAATATGTTCTTATAGTAGTTTATTTTTGTGCTTGTCTCTTACTAAAAATATTTATCATAGAAAATATACACATGTAAATATTTGTCACTAAACCCAGTCACCTACTGAAAATACGAAAATATTTTTAAAAATTTCCTGGAGGCAAAAAAAAGGAAAACTATCACAGCTACTTCCACCAGCAGGTGGCTTGATTGAATATAATTCATTTAGCTTGAGATTTTGGCACAAAGCTAAGCAGCAGCAAAACAGCCCAAACCCAATCAAAAAAAGTAAATACTTAGATCTGCAAGATGAATATTAAATTGAATAAAAATAAGTTAGAAATTGTAAGAATACTTTGATAAAACTGTTGAGTTTTGGGAACAGATCTGTTTTGTTATGACAATTCAGTGTCAATGTTAAATCTCTTGGGGAAACCAGCATAGCAGTTAAGACAGTGACAGAAGAAGAGATTCATGCTGAATTAACTTTTATCACTTAAAGGTACCAACTATTACCAAAATTTTCACTAAAACATAAATTAAAAGCAGGCCAAGTAAAATTTGAGACAGCATCTTATAGCCAAAGGGGAGTGTCATTCATACAGACCCACCCCGTGGTTCAGATCAAACAAAGGTATTCTACATAAATAGGTCAAGCTTCAACAAAACAGCCCCTCTAATAACAGCCCCTCTAACACCATACAGTTCCAACATGCTTAAAAGATGATAATATTGGATTGAATCTTTGCTGCTAAGCAGGAAGGAGGAGTTATGCACTCTGGATCCCACAGGAATACTCCAACTAGACTCCAAGAATGGTACCACAATCCCTTTGAGTTTTGTACTTTTAAAAAATATCACAAATGCTTTGAGAGAATATTTAAATATGATATTTGGTATGCTTTAACTTGTCTTCTTCATTTACCAAAAACTGCAAGAGTTCTGATTTCAGGTCAAACTGCTTAAAAAGACACAGTTTAAACTGCCTGAGAACCTATGGCACATGAACAGACCCCTCACCCTGCTTCAGCAGCCAGTGTCTCATCTCACCTTAACACTGTCTCACTTCTGAGAGAAACTTTGATGGGACTTGGTATATCAAATTTATACAAGGATTTCTTACATGGATAAAGCTATGGAGGGCGTTCCTCTCCCATACTTCTCTCTATGATCCTAGACTTTCTCTCTAGCTCATTTCCACATTTCATTTCCTTGCAGGAATCCCAACCTTACTGACAGAATAAGAAGAAATTTTGACATCCTGGTAAAAGCACCATGTGGGAAGATATTTGCTAGCCACTGTAAGAAAGACTAGAGAACTAAATGAAACTTGTCTGGTAAAAGAAAAGTGAAAAAATAATAAGTGCTTTAAACTTAAAATGTGTTTTATGGTGAAGCAGAAAAGCTTGAACAATTATTTATTGTGGTTGCTAGGATAACACTTAAAGGCATTCTCACCAACAGGTAATTTAGAGTGACTGGACAAAAGTTCTTATGTAGGCAAATCTGATTCTATTTTTTTTTATTCCACAGATCAGTCATTTTTGAGCAGGAAGGAGAAAACTTTGTGTGTTAATGTTGCATATTAATGTGAAGCTAACAACTGTACACATGCTCTGCTCCCCTGTAACATGGATGCATAGATTTTCTTTGGAGAACAATGACTTCATATAGTCTGTTTCTTGGAATAACAATCATTTCCCACCAAGAAATGATGCACCTGTCAGGATCAGCCTGGAAACCTCTTGCATAAACCTGTTCACTCTTGTTATCACAGCAGGGTGACTGTTAGACACACGGATTCCTCCACTCCTCACATATGTCTCTCTTGACACTTGTCAGAAGAGCACACACTCTACCTCCAGGTCTGCAAGCATTTCAAGTACAGTCTGGCATAAGGAATCAGGCAACTTCCTCTACATGACCAAAATTTCTACACTTAAAATGCTGAAAGAACAACAGTGGAAGAATAAAAAATAACTATGACACAGTTACAGAAAGTTAAATGGACTGCCAGAAATGTGTCCTTTTAACTGATTTAAAGACTTGAACATGTAATGATGGGGTTCAGATGCTGAAATAATAATTTTGTGTCTTTTTTTTTCACAAAGTTTTTACAAATATTAGCAAGTATAGCTTCCTAAAATAGATAAAGAACTTGAATCTCTATTATACAGAAAAAGAAACAAACCAAAAAGGCTTCCCGTGTCACACATTACAGCTATAAGAAAAAGCAAGTGTTATGACAAAATCTCCCTAATAATGATAGAGACAACGACTGACTGAAAGCACAAAGATGCTTGTCAAAAGAACTATGCTCAGATATTTTCCATAATCCCATTTAACAGCATATTTTCTTGATTTTTTACAGTGAATATTCTTGCATTTTCTGCCACTATTTGTCCAAATATGGAACCAAAGTCAACATTTCTAATAAACACTTAAAATTATTCCATATCAGTAACTGAAAGAAGAGAAAAATCAACTTTGTTTTGAAATCTTATCTTTAAGTGAACAGTAAACTCCACTCCAAACAAATTTCAGACTGGATATTAGAAAAAAAATTAGTTACTGAAAGAGTTGTCAAGCTCTGGAATGGGCTGCTCAGGGAACTGGCAGAGTCACCAACCCTGGAGGTATTTCAAGTGTTCTGGAGGCACTTGAGGACATGGATTAGTGGTGGAACGGGCAGTGCTAGGGTATTGGTTGGACTTGGTGACTCTAAAGTTCTCCAACCTAAATGATTTTAGGATTCTATAAAATAAATATACTTTCCTGTATAAATATCATGTCAATCTACATTTATTTACTTGCAAGTATAAACTAAAAGAGTATAAAGCCATGAAATGCACTATTTTCAGGATCAAATTGGCTCTATTTCAACTGTAGAACTAGGCTATAGTTGCAACTTTGGCTTAGCAGCAATTTTGCCTCAGCAGTAATTTTGTGTATTATATTAATGTATCTTTTAACACTTGAGAATATTTATCTTTTTCAAGAGAGATTCATTAAAGTGACTCTGCTTTTGGAAGACAAAACCAGCATGTGATGAATCTATTTATTTATTTTCCAATACGGATCCAATCATTATGAGTATTGTTTCTAACAACATTCTTTGTGACAGGAAAAAAAATAAATTAATACACTACCTAATATACATAACACACTGTCTATGCTCTATAATCTGGCATAGCACAAACACTAATAAAGTGTCAGGCTCAACCATCTGCAGGCAATTTTCAGTGATATTTATATCCTTGATAATTTGGTTTCCTGAGCTTTAAAGCATTAGTTTAGTTGAGTTCCTGTTTCAGCTGAAAAAGCTCTGATACTAGTTTGTAAAGCTTGTGATAGAAAACACATGTTGATACAACTAGGCCAGGTTTAAAATACATAAGAGTTGGAAAGTTTTGGTGTATGGGAAGAATCTTTTCATAAATTTTGTTTCTTGGTGGTCCTTGCTAGGATAAAGTGGGGAACTGGACTACTGATGAAATTCCTGCCTTCCTGTTTAGTTATGACACAATTGAAATTTCACCACAGGCCAAGCCAGACACACCAAAAACTGCAGAAAACAACTTAGCTGGTAACACAGAGGACAGGACCACGATGGCACAGGTAGAAGGTGAATGTGTCTGGTCAGTGAAAAAGCTTACTGCTGTTATTTTACCTTCTTTTTACCTCAGGTTTGTAAAATATTTAATACAGATATCCAAGTATTTATAGGAGAAATTGCAGCACACAGACTAGCTATTTGCTGAATTATCCCTCATAAACCACAAAAAAAAAAAAAAGAAAAAGAAAAAAAAGAGTATTTTATTCTCAATACTCTCTAATCTCAGCAGAACGTGTTTCAGTAGAATGTTACCCACTTTCCTAATCTACATGGTAAAGTAAGTCTTCCCCTTGCTTATTAAATAATTTTATTTTTTTTTTAAATCTCCAAACCTAAGAATGTTTTGGTATGATATTTCCATCTCAAAAAGTAATCATTTCATGGTGTTCCCTGCTCCATTCCAGTAAAACCTGTTTTCTGGCCAAAACATGAATCTCAGATATAGAACGGAAATGAAATGAAGAAAGATCACTCTCTCTCTTACTGCAGAGTGAATCAGGGATTTGTGGGTAAACACATATTTTAAAGATTTACAAGTAACTCCAGCACTTCAAATACAATCAGCAGGTATCCTACTCTCCTGCGAATTAAATCGATCTTTAATTTAATAATTATTCCATTCTAATGAAGATTGACCTTTAAGAGAAAACAGGATCAACCGATGTCATTCATTCTGTCAAAGTAATGCACACATGCTATTCCAATCAAAAAATTAGAATAAGAAAAAATTTTTTATTGTAATGAAATTGGACAAGACTAATTTATACTCTCTACCATATGTATTCATATAAAAACTACATCTGTGTGTATATATATATGTTTTTGGAAATTCTAGGGCCAAGGAACACTTTCTGCAGCTCTTAAGACTCCTTTTAGTACTCTGAATTCAGAAAGCAATGAATGTACTACACTAAATGGAGTAGAAATGCACTTTTCAAATTCATTAGTGATAGAATACTGATGACAGAACCTCTCTTTTGCAAAATAAAATTGTTAAAAGCAAAAGAAGCAAACAAACAAACTCCCAAACCACAGCACTAAACTAACATTAAGTGAGGCTGCAATCTTCCATGCCACATGAACCTACTCAGGGAGGGAGTAAGATCAGAATGCAGGTATCATTCCTAGTGGAAACAAATTTTTTTCCACTTAGCTACTTAGGTAGGTATTAACTTCTCAGGGATACCTCCTCAGCAGAGACAAACAACAAGGCAAACCACAATCATTATTTACAAGGACCTATAATAGAGTTTTTCAGCACTAACATGTACCTGTCAGTGTGTAGATCTGGCTTTAGGAGAACAGACTTGAGATACTCTTTTTCTGCACAATTATCTGCCTTAGCCACATATATCACTGCAACGCAAATCAGAATTAATATCAGTATCAATTGTTTTTCACCTTTTAGAAGAAAGAACATGAGGAAAAGAACAAAGGAAAAATAAACATTTCTTTCTTTTTTTCTAAGGAAAAGCAGCAATGTTAGAATCAAATTTGAAAGGTCACGTGATCTAACGGTGTGTCACTGGCAGGTCTATGTGCACACTGTCAAAAAAGATACAAGCAGCATCTAAGCATGCCACACAGCTGTCACTTTCTGTTAATGGCAATAGCAGTCATGATTTTAAAAGCCAGTGGTCTTTATTGCTTTGTATTTGAAGTGATTTACTGCATTTTCTTCCACTGAGGAAGCTAGTGATAATGATAATGTATGGCAGAGTGCTTGTCCTTTTTGACAGCCTCAGTAATTTAATCCCCCTTTCCTGCCACAGTATTTCAATAAGAGAAACCTCTAGACCAATGGACTGGAGAAAATCCACGGCCTGGGGAGTGTGTGCAAGTGCTCTGAAAGCCTCTCACTGTTTTAATTTAAAATACAAACACAAGGATCAGCTTTTAATTTTTGGACTATTAATATGACCTACAGTGAAAGTTAGCCTTGGTTTGGAAAACATATTAAAAGCATGGTTTTAAGAAATTCTTCAAGAAGTTTTGGGGCCTCTTATATTAAGAAAGTAGCAGATTTCCTGTAAATGGTATCAGTCTGCAAGTATCAATAAACTATTGTGAAAGAGTACAAAAATTGAAATAGTATTGAATTAATTTTAATTTTTTTTTAAAGAAAGAAATGCAACTGAAAAAGTTTTGATAGGACAAAACTAAAATGAATATAACCCTCTAAGAATCAAACATAGCTTTTCATTTGTTTTCATTTGTTTTTGAGGGGAGGAGGTGGAGTTAGAAATTTGTCTGTCATTACATTCCAGCATTTCTAATATTCACTCTCTTCTAGTTACTTCTCATTGTACTCACAAGAGATCTTTTTCACTCTCCACATCACAATAAGGTTTCCTTTTGCTGTGCACTGACAGAAATCTTTAATGTATTTCACTGTCCAAAATAAACTTATTTGTATAAAAAGAAAGTACCAATTCTACCAAGGAGCTGAGTATTGGAATGCAGCAGCATGAGCAGAGATAAGAAGGCCTAAACTCCTTGCAGAGGGATTTACTGAAGGACGTATCTCTATTGAAGTCCTAGGAAGCACACCTTTCAGAGATATTGCTTTTCCAGTTTTCTCCAAAGCTGTTCCTCAGCTCTTGGCCAGCAGAACTGCTCCTAGGCACGGGTTACTATCAGAAAACAGCCAGTCCAGTTGCTGAGTCGTTCAGTCAAAGGAATCTGCAATTTGCCACCATTTCTCTACTAACAGAAAGCAAAGCATTGGTTTGCTTTGGTTACCTTTGAATCCTTAGTTTCCACCTCACAATTTCTTACTTTCCTAGGTTAAAAGAAGCTGTTATTGTCATCTGCTATTCTTTTGGACATGTGGATGACTTTCCACATGTGCTGCTCTCATGGCCAAGTGCTCCTGGGGCCACCACAGGAAGTGATGGGGAGGCAGCAGGGAGACACATGGACAGCCAGAGAACTTCAAAGGAAATGCCACATCAACAGATTCTTCCCTTTCCCATAAGCATCCCAAATGGAATTTCCTCAATTTACTAATTCTGTATCTAAAACAATTTAAAACGAAAATTATTTGCAAATCCAAAGAGTTCAAATTCATTTCACTCAATGGAAAAATTCAGACTGGTAAGTAAAACATTCAGCACAAGAACTCCATTCAAGTCTGGGGAAAATGATTAACTATAATGAAAATACATTTTTAGATCCTGATGAATAACATGCTTTCATATCACCTCACAGTACTGCCTGAACTTAGAAACACAACATTGCTCCAAAGCATGGAACATCTCCTGTTTCTATCCAATTAATTGTAAAAATAATTCAAAATTAACTTGTGACAGTTTGCATCTAAGATTATAATTTTAAAGTTACTCCTAAAGAATTGGTAAAAGGTGAAGATTACAATGACCCTGGAAGCTTGTAAGAAATCTTTGCAATTCAAAACATTAACACAGCTGTTCTGTTATAGTGTATTTTTTCATAGTTCACATTCTAAAAAACAGATGAAGCAGAATTTTATCACAGTGAAGAGCTTCACAGTGTGGAGCTTTAATGGAGAAAAGGAATACACACAGAAATATAACAATGTCTTCTGATGCAAAGCCTTAACATTTGAGTTATACTGAGGAATCCACCTTTCAGAACAGGGATCTTCAGAAGTTTATTTTTAATAAAAAATACACTCCTTCATCTTCCCCCACTTTGTGTTCTTTTGGTCTACTTACACTTGCACTTCAAGTTGTTCAAAGAGCCACCCATTCACTTAAGAGAGAAAAGTTTTTGAGAAAAGAAAGCTTTCCAATTAAATTTCAAATAAATTCTTTGCAGCATTTCATAAATCTTTCTTCTACTTCCCTTACCTGTTCTCTAGAACTACTTCAACCTTCTATCAGTCTTGCTTTCTAGTAATTTTCTCGCCATCTCAGCATTTTCACATTTAAGTCTCGTTATTTAATAAAATAAGAATGTTTTTTATTAACAGCATTTATGAACTAACCATAGCTTCATCATTTAATTAATCTTGGCCCTGACAAGAAAAATGTTTCTTTTACTGAAACTAACAGTCAAACATCAACAGATGAATTTATATGTGTGGGAAACTGGGCTTTGTTTGCTTGGACTAACATGTTTCCTTATGTTTTCCTGACTGTGAAACTGCCACTACTTTAAAGAATATATGGTGACATGACTGGAAAAATTCTGGCACACAATTTTAAACTGAATTGAAAAATTTAAATATCAGTTAATTGCTTACTGTGATCAGTAACTCCACGCAACATCAACACAATGTTGTATGTACCAAAACAAATCCCACCAAAAAATCAGAATCCTTTCTGTTCACCAAATATAAAGACAGAGTCAGGGTGTGAGCACAATTTGGCAAGTTCCACTTTTCTTTGAGTTTATGGGACTGTAGTGTCTGGAAGCTTTCTTGGATATTCTAATAACTCTTTCCACTGCTAACAAACACACAGCTCCTCAGTCAGTATGGTCAGCAGTAGAAAAAACACTTCATGTCAAGAGGTATGCATTGCAATCCTACAGTGTATAAACCTCCCCAGTCAAGTTGCTGTTCCAAGACCTTGGAAGAAAGAAAATGATCTTCTAACCATTCGTAGTGAAAAAAGTCACAGTAGAAAACCCCCAATTTATGTCACGTTACATGCCTGAACCAGTAGTGAAAATGGAAATTCGTGGGATCATGTATGTCCAGATCAATGGAGCTCCACTACATTGTTTTGCAACAAGATTTTGTTTATCTTCTGATATCTCACATGTCAGGCGATGACAGCAAAAGGTATGGAAAACCTTCCAATATTTTTTAAGCAGTGAATCTCCCAGAGCCTTCTGTATCAGTTAAGATGATTTTAAAACAGTCAAGCTGTTCCTGTTATAGATAATATAAAATGCTTTTTTATTATAAGAATTAGTGATTTTTTTAGATTACTTATGGACTTACCCTGATTTTCTCCATGCAGAAATCTAAAAGACTATTAGGTTCCTTCTAGGCTCAAAGTAAATTTCTTTCTACCCACGTAAATCTCATTTTTATTAAAGAAAATATTCAATTAACCTCAAATATTCAGCATACTCAAATCTAATTAGACATGAATAAGAGATGCAGCAAAGCTATAGTAAACACACATGCAGATTTCATTACTATTATCTTACTGGCTTCTCAACTGGCTTTATCAAAAAGCAGACTCATTAAGTTTTTTCTCCCCTGTATGTAAAGCTAATCTTGAGTAGAAATTAGATGACCAATCACCTAAGCAAACCTCTGCAAATAACAACCATATTAGTATTATGCTGCAGAATACAATCCTGAAGCAATTGAGACCAAAAAACACCTTTGATACTGATTTGTTAGGATATTTGGAAGTTTAAACAGTTCTACAATTGATACTTAAGCAGCAAATAGAAAAATCAAAGTTATGAAGCCAGGTTATGACTAACAGAAATAATACAATATAGCACTACTAGATTGGAAAGCTTTATGAATCACAGTCTCTACAATACAATAGTACAACATTATTTTCAAATATCACAGCTTGAAATGTATTGAAGTTTCATAATTGTCTTAAAAGTCTGAAATTTTATTCTCTATTCATCATAACTTTGCTGTATTTTGCTAGTTTAACTTTGCAGAGTAAATACGTAGAAAACTAATACTATGCTTGTACCATACCTAGAAATCAGAATATTGTGTAAGAATTTTATATCTTCTGAAGGCTTATTATAATCAAAGCAATGAGAATTCAAGATGCAAGAGAAATCAAAACTGTTAAAAAGCTTTTATTGGCTTATGTTATTATTTCAATGAGGTTTTAATACAATTATTTCAGTTATGTCTGCCTACCTAGAACTTTTAGAAGTGTTTACAGAAGCTAGCAAGATGAATATTGTTGAGCTCATAAAAAGTTATTATTTATGTAATGCGTTATTTAGTAAATGATACCACAAATCCCATTTGTTGGAATGGGAGCAGCCTCAGCAAATGAAAGACATTACAGAACATTAGTTTTTGTGGTTTTGTTTTTCTTCTCTAAAGCCTTACAAAGATCACCATCCTCAGACTCACAAAAATTAACAATTGTGCCCTGTCCTCTACTGTCCCTCTCAAGTGGGCAGTCCCACTACAGCAACAGTTGATGATCATTGTCTAGGAGGGATCTGAGTCTTCAACTACAGGATAACCCAATAGTTTATAAGTATTAAGAGGATCTAAACAAGTGAATTCTTTGGCAAGTCACATTCTAAAATCAAGTTTGCAGATGGTACCAATTTTAAAGATCTGACTATGACACCACTTTTGCAAAGCTGCTTTTACAGCATTATTTTTAAAAGAATGTTTAAATTGAAGATCTGTGGAATGGTTTGTCACAAATAGCAAACTGATTCACCTGCTCCAGGATACTCTCAGATAAAAGTCCAAGACAACTTAAAGCACTTAGACTGAATCTTAAAAGAAACAGAATTTAACAGAAAAAAAAGTTAATCAATAATTGAAATACTATGAAAGAGCAGGGAAAATATTTAACAAGAGAATTATCAATTACTAGAATAATTCTACGTATGTTATAGTATATAATTGTATATTGACATAAACTACCCTCAAATGTTCATTTATTAGAGACTAGCATGTGCAACATGCAGGATTAAGTATAATGAAGTAAATAGCAATGTATTACTATTAAATATGGATGAATAATTTCCCATTTTAAAAAGTTCTGATTAGAGGAACACTGAGTATTCGCAAGTGGTGATCAAGTCCAATTACAAATTTTCTCTTTCCAACTGTATTTTAATTGTATATGGTTGATAAGATGTTTTTCTTTTGCTGTATCATCATGCACCAACAGAAAAATTAGTTCATGATGCTCTTTTACAATGAATACATATATTTATGTATATCCTAATTTTAAAATGTATGTGCTCCCAGCATATTTAAATTTATTGTAATGTTACCATTTCTTCCACAAGCCTGCTTCAGTATTCCATTTTATAGTTAACAATTGCATCCTTACCTCATTTCTTAAAAACCACCACTAATATTTCCCAAAATATTTGGAAAAAAAGACGAACAGTACACAGATAAATACAAATATAATGTATAGGAAATAGGCTTTATCGCAGGCATTTTCATGAGACAGAACTTAAGAGAAGAAACACGCCTGCTCAGGAGCACATCCCACTCACCAGTGCTACACTTACAGCGACTCCTCTGACCACCTGTTGCCTTGGGAAGTGACAGTGGGGTGTCCTCTGCAAGGAAATAATTTCATCTGCATTCAACACACAGCTGCTGGATTGTTTCATCTGAAGTAATTCCTAACTCAGTATAACCAAGTGATGTAATTTTAATCCAGATCTTTTCAACTTCCTATTTAAAAACTGAACACTAACATAACACAAATTATTTTGTATTCCTTGAAGTGTTAACAAAACAAACCTACATCCCTGTAAGTCATGGGCTGCTTTGCACAATTAACACTGATTGATTTTGACACACACACAACGAGAATGTAAAGCCCCAGGATTTGCAGTTAAGAATATTGTTGCAACAGCTACTGATATACATTCAGTGCTTAAAATATTTTTGCAATAGTCATAGTCTTCTTGGGAAGATTAGGTTAAAGTTATCTTTATGTACAAATGCTATCTGAACCACTAATTTTAGTTGCCATTATTTTTAGCTACACAGCAAAGTGATCCTGTAACTGTCTGAAATAGTTTCACTGACATCAGGTACCAAAGTTTTCCAAATGAAAGAGAATTGTTAGTGCCTCTTGCAGACTATACCATGAACAGCTGAATAAAAATCCACCAAGTCACAAAATATTTAGGCATGTAAAGTAACACTGTATCTACATGGAATTGAAATTCATACACTGAACTTGCCTACTTAAATCAAACATACCTTTAAAAGTTAAAATTAGCAATAGGATAATAAAAGTAATACCCCAATTGTTCTTCACCAGAGCCTTTTCTTGTTATCTTTAACCAAACTCACATTTTTTCCCTTCCTCGTAAAATTGTTTCATTGTGTTTGGCAAGATCAGTAGTATTGTGTACAGATAAATTGTAATCAGTTTTATGTATTTAAGTGTGAATGTCAGACTCAACAGAAAGAGTCACAAGTATTTCCTTAGGTAACTGCAATTTGAAGAAAGAAAAGCCACTGTGGGTTCCAAATTGGAGCACTGAAAGATGACATTCTTCAAAGAGCAAACAGAATACATTGGAGTACAGAAATGTCAAAAATATTTTTTTTACTTCTTTCATTTCTTTTCAAGTTCATAACTTTATTAAAAATATTTCCCCTATGTGGAAATATTTTGACAATTTTTGATTGTAAACTTAAATCACTTGAAGTACTAAATCATATTCAGAAGATTAGCTTTCTAGATTCAGTGTTTGAACTGCAAGTCAATATTCTAATTTATTATGGAGATAGCTTACATTTTTCCAAGCAAATTACATAATTAATCAAACTGAAAAGGAGGTGTATCCTATTGTAAAAATATCCATCATATAGAACAATTTCCATTGCTGTCAAGTCCTTTCAATATTTGATGAAGTAATTTTACCCCCTCTTTTCAAAAGACATTTCCTTTTATTATGTATCCTAAGACACTTTAACTAAAAACCCAAATCTGAATATTTCAATAAGGTTGTTTTATTATTCAGTAGATTCATGGAAATTTTACTAGGATGACAGAAAAAATTCCACACCATTCTGTCTCCACTAATACAGGTACATGGCTTCAGCTGGCAATATTACTGGGATTAGCATAGAATGATGAAATATTTAAAGGAATTTTTTTTTCTAAAATCTAATAAATCAAATGACTGCCAAATGTCATTAAAGTGATGGTCTCTGACTTGAATATGCTTTTCATATTCAAATTTGAAAAGAAAGAGATGAAAGCCTGGAAAGGTTACTCAGTTTCAACTAATAACCTCAAGCACTCTACATTCACATGCATAAAAAATGAAATTGGCTCTATTGTCTAATTTTACTTCAGAAACAACTCTTTTCTTCTTGCACTGAACAGATGTATTAGCATCTGTATTTAAAGGGATATGCTGAGTGGTTTTGTTCGCCCCCAAGTATTTAGCAGCTATGTCAGACTAGTTTGTACACAGACAGTAGCTTATGAATCAAGTCCAAATACAATATCCTGTATTATAAAGTATTCCTTTTACATATTTTAAGATTTGTTTGACATATTTAACACTTGTAATTGCATACAGTAGGCAAAGAATATTACACTTTTTCAAGGCTAATGGGGTAAATCCAGGTATTCTGCTTTCTAACTTATCATGAAGTAAATAACTGAGTCATACTATTAGAAAATTGCAAGAAAAAAAATTAATTTGGAGCTCAACAGTCAAGACTATTTTGAGTTTTATTAATGGTTAACATGAATACAGCATATATAAATGAGAACACAGGCTGATTAAAAAAGGTATTTACAAATAAAAAATATAGAACTGCTGAAGAACAGCATAGCTAGCATGTCATATTTCACCACTAATACAAACCCACTCATATTATGTAGCCAGGCTGAAAATACATATAGCATCCAACATATGATAGGAATTAATTTTTAAACAACTATTTATTTTTCTGTGATGCAGAGTGAAATATGTTATTAAAATATTTTCCTAAGTTTTTTTCTTAAGCCTTGGTCTCATTTATTAGGTACTATTCAAGTGAACAATGGAGAATTTGTCAATTACTGCCCACAAATCATTCTATTTTAATGGGAATAAAATTATTCTTTACATTTAGAATTTAAAACAAGATATAATACAAAATTTCCTCAAAGAGAGAGAATGGGCACATATTAAAATAAAGACTATTAAATGCATTCCAAGAATCTGAGAAACTGGTTCAGTGCTTTCATTTCAGGTGAGGGAAACAAAATATGGGCAAGATACTTAGTCTGTGTCAGAATTCTTTCTCTACCTTTTAATACCAACTCTGTAATTAGTGCTACCCAGAGATTTGGAAGAATAACTGAACTCCAACAAGCTTCAGGATTTGGGTAAGCACTAAATGCATTGGACATTTCGCACAAGATTTACATCTCAACTTTTCTCATCTGTCTGAGATTAAGAAACCCTTTTATTAATTCCACAGTCAGTCTTGACTGCCACCTTCAAGAAGCTGTATATTCCATATTTTCATTTCCTTTTTGGTCACACTGCCACGTGCCAGGAGGAGAACACAATGGCCCAAGGTCAGCACCATAATTAGGTTTGATGCAATCCCCTCAGCTCTGTCTAGAATTAAGAACACACTGAACTAAAAAAATCTATTTGTGACAATGAATACAACTTTGGTTGCTGCCATTTTATCCAGTGTAGGGTCCAAATTCCTCAATTTTTGAGTGCAGCTGTAGTGGAAGAAACATATCAAATTGCACATTTTTAATATAACTGTTCTTTTTATTTACAGTTTTATATTTAATATTTGATAATGTATCCCCCCCTCACCATTACAGTATTGTGTCGGGACCATATAGACATTACAAAATTAATTCAATTTGATTCTCATAATACTCAGTGTGAAAAAATTATGCTTGGTGATATAGACAACACAACTAATCAAAATTAAAATTTAGTTTCAAATGCTAACCTTTGATTTTTAAACTTCCAGTCAGAAAAATACTCCTTTCTATTTGTAAAGTCACCATAACCTACTACCATGTCCATAGGCTCTGACAAACAGTATCTCCAGTAAGCAACTGAGGATCATTCTTATTCATAACCACAAAAAAATTACCAGTGGGGTTAAAAATGACTCTTGCTGATGCTTTTCCTGTGGGCTTATGCATTCAGCCTTAAATCTGACTTTCTACTTAATTTCATATTCTAACTAATTAGTATTATTTGTTACCTAAAAAATAATGGGTCACCTAATGACTTAAGATTCTGTAGTTTTCAATCATTTTAAAAGTGGTTGTTTGGGTTTTTTGGTATTACTTCACCCTTTTATTCCATTTCTTCAATCATGAAGAATGACTTTCAGAACATGCTTCCAATTACAACTTCAAAGTATATTTGACAAGGGGTAGATGGAAGTCATAAATCCATCATTTCTGCATAGTGCCTACTCAAACTTCTGTCATTTCGAACTTTATCAGTGGCAAAAGACAACTCAGGTGTTGCCTGGATTCTTTAAACTTTCTCTCTTTTACTTTAGTTCCTGCACTACAGTGACCACAACACAATCACCTCAATGATGGGGAATAGCAAATGCTCCTTTTTAATCTTAGGCCCACTAGCACTCCTTGAAAGTACTGACTCTAAAGTTTTAATAAGTTACTTGTATCTTATTCTGATACGATGGTTCTGTTTCATGAATTTTATTTCTTGTTTTATTAAATATGCTGGTGCAGCACTTTTACTTCACCAGTTTCTTACAGAAGAAAAGCACAAAGCAACTAGTTCTAGATAGGACTAGGAGGATACAAAGGATTAGTATTTCTGGCACAGCAGAATCAAGCCAACTCAGTAACACAGGGTAATACTAAAACCCTAAAATTTTAGTTCTCTAAATTCTGATTGGATATTCACAAAACAAGCCAGCTTGAGGAAAACATTGAACAATCAAAAATCTCCCTGAAGCACACTAAAGGCACTCAAGTCCTGCAGAAAATTAGTGTAAAGAGAAATCAAGTCAGCCAAAAATTAAAACTGCAATACAATGTCCAAATAGTTTTCTTTTTTCCAGTGAACAGAGATATCACATAGGAGGAAATGCACTAGTCAAGCAGTCATACAAAAAAAAGCATAATAAAAAGTATCTATTGCTTTGCTATACATAGGTTTTATACTTTACATCTTCTCACATTTGCACAAATAGGCTTCATTCACCAGGAGAACCATGAGCAATTGGTATTGTTCTTTAATGGTGTTTAAGAGGGATTTTCATGTCAAAACTAATTAGAACTTGAGATCTTAACTTACAGTTAGAGGTAAATGACAGTTATCAAAAAACTGCTATTAGAGCAACAGAATGTACTCACAGTAGCTGCACCAAAAAAGAGAGACCTATAGAAAATAACAGAACCAGCACTGAATAAATTGGTTTTGCCAGTAATTACCTTATGGCACATTTTAAGACAACTTGGAAGCTGACAGCAGTAAATTTTATTGTGATAACTGAATGCTGTATAATCTCCTGTAAGGATACAGTGTAGACATGGGGGTGAAAGGGAGGAGGGGATGGAAGAGAAAAGACTTTTTTTTTAATTTTTTTTTTTTTAAATATAAAGACCATGCCAAAGAAAATGCAAATTCCCAGTTTTGATGTCTATTTTGAGGATCTGAAACAAGGCTTTTAATCAATGTATTATACATCAAATTGATAATGTTAACTTCTGATTATTCAAATGTATGAAATATTCATAGAGAACTGTCCAAACTTTTACATTTTCAGACTTCTTTTCTCTATTAATTATCATGCCTGGAAGCTTTTTAGTAAAAGCAGCAGCCATCAGCCTGACTGAACCTGACAAGCTAGCAAGGCCCAATTACACTGGCACTCTGTGGCACTTTGATGTACTGGAAACGAAAAGAGATAGGGGCAAATTGTATAGCACATTATGTTAATGACTTGATTTAATCCAGCCACTAAACTTTATGTAGCCTGTTAAAAAAGATGCTAACACTAATTATGCCACTTTGGAAAGGAAAGAAGGGGACAAGCATTTCATACCGACAAAGTGAAGCTCATAAATGTTGTAAATGAAATGAAACAAAATGAAGTAATCTATGATTAATCATACATCATAGACAAGAAGAAAAGAGAAAGAAGCAAGTGGTACAGCTAAGTACTGGAAAATCTGTTAGATACCCTCTATGATCAACATATCTAAGAAATAACCATGAACTGTCTAATTTGCAACATGCAAAAAACCCCCAGTATGATCTTAAATGGCTTAAACAGTTTGGCATACAACTCAGATTTATAGGATAATTAGCATAACAATCTCTAAAAATCACAAGTCTTATTTACAGTGTTTGATTACCAGCAGGATATTTATCTCAAAAGATAAAAGGCAGTGATTTTTAATCTTAAAAAAATACAAATTCAATAACAATTTTGACATGCTGTATTCTAGATTTAACCCAAGAATTCAAATAAACCAAGGCATATTTTTAAAATCCAATTGGTATCAAACATGTTGTCTTAATAGTTTATAGCTTTTATTGTTTTATCTACCCTTTGTGAACATGCACTTTGTTACCAGAGGACAAGATCAATGGAGAGAGGTAGAAACTGATGAACCTGAAATGAATCTACACACAAAAATCTCTCAGAAGTGTTCTTAAATAATTGTGATAAAATAAAATACAGGATGACTACAAAAGTATAGAACAAGTGTTTGACTTACTAGTGATGAGCAGCAGTCATTGTAAATGATTAGTTCTCAAAATTACAGGTGAACATTTTTTATACAACGCAATTCTTTCTTCAAAAGTACCTTTTGAATCTTTCTGAAGAATATACAGGCGATAGCATTACTGAATCCCTTGTACAGCTTAAAAAAGAAGGAGCAATATTTCCCATACTTGTTGTTAGTTGCTTTGTAAGATGTCTCACGCCTTGAAAAAAAAATTTAAAAAAATCAAACTACCTCTAGGATATCACATTGCAGAGCATTAAAAACCATGAAGACTGATAGGATCTCACAGTACACCTCTAGTCCTTTAAAAGAAGGCTAAGACAGATGAGAAAAGTATTAACTGTTAGAGGTACTAACATCAATTTTAAGTACTAGTTTCGTATTTTTTAAGATAGTTCAGTCAATGTTAGATCTAAAAGTACGAAATACTTTCTTTTTTTTTTGGAAATACTGTTCAAAGTAAATTTTCCAAATTTGTATTATGCTGTGTTATTTTGTATATGTGACTTCATGCTAATTAATTACTGGTTTTAAGAGTAAGGGGACATCATTGGTGTACTTGTTCACAAATAATGATAGAAAAAGAAGTACAGCTGAAGTGACTGGATACTGTACATGTACAACTTTATTGAAAACTGATGTTAGATATAGCAAACCTACTATTAGAGGACATTTAAGCTTAAAATCTTTTTCTGTCTTGCCAAATAATTGCCATGATCACTGACTCAGCTGTTTAATATTCGTGGATCTGGACTTGAAATAATACCATCATTGCTGTCAGTTTTTATTGATTCAACAGCATCCTCATCTTGTCTACCATCTTGATCTGAAAAAGAAACATTAAAAGAATCAATGTAATCAACCCCCCCATATTGTAGTCCATCTGAGACCTGCTGAGGAATCTGATAACAATATATTTGCTTTCCTAATAAATGAAGAATAAGTGCCAGGTAAATCTTATCTTCCTGCAGAAGATTAACACTGCAAATCAATGACCTTTTGAGTCATCTAAACTGTATTTTTTCTGTTTAAAAAAAAAAAAAAAAAAGTGTTTCCCAGATGAAAGTTAAGGATTGGAAAGATGTAAGTCCCGTGATGAGATGAGGTACGAACAACTGTTAGTTTTACATAAGAACATGGCCTGAATTTCTGGATTTCCTCTGATTATGTTTAACACCATGCACATGTAGAGAAGAATGTATCCTTTTTTTTAATAAAAAAGTAGTTCTGTATGTAGGTGGATTATTTTCCAGAGCATTCAAGGTTTTTTCTCTGAAGCAAATTACTAAGCACAACAGGGATTCAGCATCATGTTTTCCCAATTTTTCTAATGAATTCTTATGCAGAAGCTGCAAACAAATGAACATAAAATTTTAGCATTCTGCTTCTGCATTTACTTGGTTTTGTGGACTCGGTTTATTTCAATGATAAACAGTTTAAGCTCAGAGGTGGAACAGGATGACCCAGCTCTTATAATCTTTAAATAAATCTGCCTCTAACAACTTTATGTCACAAATATGATAAGACATACTACCCCTCTCACTGTCTGAAAGGATTTCTGATATCAGCATTGGCTGTTATCTGCAGACAAAAGGAGCACATTCATTAAAATAGTCTTTAGAACAGCATAGTTCTAAGGGAGAATATAAAGACATTTAAAATAGAAGCCAGGTTTCCTTTAATATTTTATGAATCTAGGTCAGATACCAGATTTTTGCATTCAATTACAATACAGTTTCCATTTGGGAAGAAAATAACACTACCATATCCACCACCCAGCTTCAGCTATAAAGTACACCAGAATATAATTTCTGTCATGAAGCCTCTCATAATGAGGTAGCTCCCACTGCTAGTAAGAAATGCTTAAGAAAATGGAAAGAGACATAGATTTATTAAGAAAATACAGTTACTTATTCATAAAAATGAATTCTACCTTCTGGTTCCAATTCTTCAGTTATTTTTGTCTCGTCTCCAGAAGTAATTGATGTTTGGTCAGCTAACTGCTCCTCTGACAGATGTGAGAGCTCTTCTTTCTCCTGTTGAATTTCTTCAGCCATCTCCTTCACCTTATCTGCTAGCCTTTCTCGTTTAACCTCCTGTACCACATGCTACATAAAAAGATAAACTTACAGTCTTTATAACATCCCTTCAATAGTAAAAGTTACTAAAGTTCAGAACTTGAAGAGTAATGGCCCACATTCATTATACACAGCCTTGAAACATTGGTATTGCTTATGCAGCACAAGAAACAATGAGAGGTTGTCAACTGCAGTAACAAATAATTGATACAGTAAAAAGAAATTCTCTAATGATGTCTATTTGTGAAAACATAACTATTATAATCATTTGGTACCTGTCAACATATATACAGCCTCTTAGATTTCCAGATTCATTTATATTTCAGCTCTTTCAGTTCTACAAGACTCAGTTAAAAAACAAAACAAAATCCAAACAAAGCCACCCCACCAGCACATTATGCAGTTAGCAATTTTATAACTTAAATTATACAGTATTTTCTGTTTCAAAAGCAAACTAATATCATATAAAAAAGAATCAGCCTTGCTACAACAGAACAAACATGCTACCTAAGGTAAAATAACTTTATGCATAACTTACTCTAAAGTAATCTTATTATCTTCTTTATCTTTGATTTCATTTACATAATCATAGCTCATCAATGGATACACATTACAGGGTTATGTCCAGGATGGAAACTTACTGATGACTGAATTCAGTCATCTTAAATCCCATAAAAGTGAGGCCTGTTGAGCTCTCCTGGACTGCAGGAGCCGTGTTTGGTCATCCCCCCTGCCTGGGACACCTCTCAAGGCTCACAGAGGCTCAAATCTGAAGAGACCAGCACTGACAACGAGGCCTGGGTTGATACTCACCCCCCCCATCTTGACATTCACCAAGGTGCAACTCTTGGTTGTCAGGAAACACAAAAGGATTTAAGTGATTAATTCACTGAACCCGTGGTAGATACCTTTTAGGTTGATAGGTATCTGTACACACAGAGAAATAGGTGCATACATCACTTTACCTGTGTTCACATGAATTGATTGAGGTATGAATGTTACTATGTTAAATCTATGCTTAAGTCACTGTTTATAATTGTAGTGAGCCCTATGGAATCGCTTTGTAAATGTTAAAATACTCAGTGTTTAAGTCGTGCTAAACTTTTTTGCACCCTTATCTTTGCATCCATATCTTGGCACCCTTATCCCCCTTTGCATTCCTGGCTTCAGTGTAAGTCATTCCAAATTGCTTCTAATTTGATCTTCCTTTCTCTGTTTTAACTTGTGTAGTAATAGAGTGAGCCTTGCCATCAAACTCTGTAAAGATGTATTTTCACAAATTCATATTAAACCCTGCTTTTGCCAAAACCTTTGGCAGTGTTTCTTTAAGTAGCCAAACCACTTGTTCACAATACATGTCTAGCTATATTCCAAAGTTATCCCACTTCATTATATCCTCCTGCTATATAATGATAATTTACAGAGGGAGGGCAAAATAAACTTCATCCAAACAATAAAAGCTCAAGAAGCAATTGGATAACGCTCTCAGACTCACGGTGTGACTCTTGGGGTGCCCTGCATAGGGTCAGGAGTTGAGTCCCTTCCAGCTCTGGATATTCTATGATTCTGTACTCTGGGTGTGACCATGCACTGAACAGGCTGCCCAGAGAAGCTGTGGAGTCTCCCTCTCTGAAAATATTCCAGAACTGTCTGGACACAATCCTGTGCCATGTGCTCTAGGATGACCCTGCTTGAGCAGGGAGGTTGGACCAGATGATCCCACTGCTGTCCCTTCCAACCCAAACCGTTCTGTGATTCCATGAATATTTCTGCAACAGCCTTTAAGGAACTGAAGTGACAGGAGGGTCCTGCCATTCAGTTTTCCCACGCAGTGTCACTATTTTTCATGAGGACCCACTCAAAGTCTCTATTTTTTCCCCATTATAATAGTACCAGCAGTGATCAGAGCACACTTGGACTGGGGTTGGTGCTACATCCTGGCTGCTGCTTAGCTTGCTTCCCCTAATCGTCATTGTTTTTCCCTGTACATAAAAAGTACACACTTTGAAGACCACTGAGACCTATTTTGCTTATTATCCCAAATAATAGTATGGCCTGTGAAATTTTCATACTCTTAATACCACTTTAAATTCAGCATTGCATAGTAAAGCTGTCAGTAACAACTCTCAATATGTCATAGCTTCATATTAATGTATCTTAAGGCATTTTTATTTATCTATATTCATTTATTTAGTATCACTTAAGGCCAGTTTTGCAAACACTTGCTGTAGTCAAATAAAATGTTTAAATATTCAATCTGATATTAGAAGTCAGTAGAGCTACTCAGAATCTTAACGGTAAGCACATGATGAACTCAAGCCATAATCATCATAAAGATTACTCACAACAAGTTTGCCCACTTCATTCCACTAGATTGTTCACAGAAATACACTTTTTAAAAACACACACTAGAAGAATCAACTCTAAAAATATTTAGTTTACTTCCTGTCTGTGCTCTTCTTTTGTAAACTTTATACTGGCACAGTATATCACAGTGTTGAGATAAAAAAAGAAAAGATTGCAAGGTCAATTATTCACTGAGAAGTCGTCCTACAGCATGAGAAAAACACACATGAAATAATCTGTTCAGTAGATTAGAAGAAAAATATGTTATTGTAAACGCACATAGCTGTAAATAAAAATTGGTGTATTCTGAAAATATTAAAAATTTCTGAATTAATAGTTAATTAAAATTAATTAAACATGGCCAAGGGCAAGAATGGGCTCCGGATAACTTTGTGCAGTACATAGAACAGGGGTTTATGATTTGAGAGACACTGTCAGATGGGCCTCTTTTCCATAAGAACTTCCAATGTAGAGAAGAAATACTGAATAAAGAGTAAACATTAACCCAACAGATGAAGAATAAACACAGCTGAAATGATATGAGCCTCATTCAGCATATAATCTGTACGGGGTCAATTTTTGTACTTAACAGTTACTCATAACTTTAGTGTATTGTACAAATGTACACTTAAAAGGCAGCATTGAAATCACCAGCAAGAGAAACTACTTCCCAATTTTCTGGGCAATATTCCTGAACTCCTCATCTTGACCTCACATCTTGAGAAAATAGGGTTTTTTTTCAGAAATATACCTGTTTCTACTTTGATCTTGTCAAGGATTTCATTGTCTGCTAAATCAGATTTGATAGCCATCTCTAGTTTAGCAATTTGCAGTTTCAGCTGCCGTTCCTTTGATTTCCACTGCTGTTCATGGGTCATACAGAAGACACTCCAATAAAACATATGGCATGTGAAAAACTTTCAGAAATCAGCTTCAACAGAAAATAATAAAGAAAAAAGCTTTTAGTGGCACAGAGACCACTGTCATCATGTCTTAGGAATTAAGTAAACACATGCTGGTCTGCTGCTGTTGAAACCAAGGCGCCTTTCTCAGGCTGCGGTTGAAAAACATGAAAGAGTTTGTGGGATGAGTGAAGGAACTGGCCTTAATTTAGAGCTCCAAAGTCAAAAAGTTGGCAGCATGCAACATTTGTGGGACTAGAAAAGGAATTCAGATGCATATCCCAGAGTAATCCACAACTCCAAACCTCAGTGACTGACAACTAACAAAACCATTCTTTCCACATACAAAACCTCTTAATGTAGAGAATTGGGATCATCCACCTGATTTCTTTTAAATCTGTGAAACATGCAGAGCCTAAAGTCAGTTGCCCATTCAAAGAAATGGTGACCACAAAGTGACAACAGTTTTCTCATACTGTAAAACAACAATTCTGATACTGATTAAGAAGCACATTTAAAGTAATCTTTCTCCTACTTTAAGAAATAAAAAACAGAGATAGGCAAAGAAATTAGAATAACTATTTTGCCTGTAACACATTATTTACTTGTAAACTACCAATCTATGTGCAATAAGGATTGCATGGACAAAGAATGAGAACTGCTGAAACCACAACAAAATGTGTAACTCAGATTGAAACAAAATTAAATACATTATATAATTTACAGTATAATTCCCAGTAGGCAAAAAGACAAAGCAATGCAATGAGCTTTCATATAAATTAAACAGTGAGTGCTATAGTCTTCAAATTATTATTGCTCTATACTTGCATTTTTATTTATTGGAAAAATGTCCATCTTAATCAAGCACAGAACAGTTTATTCACTTTTGTGTTCTGTGAAAAATAAGAAATTGTATGTTTCTTTAAAAAACAGGAGTCAGTTCCTCAACTCTTCACTTTGGTGAAGTTCATCAGTTAGTAAACATTATATTTTACATGTATAAATGTATTAAAAATGTTCTGACATCTATCTATTTATCAACCCATCTCTCCTATGTAACAAGCCTCAACCACAAAAAGAGAGAGGAGAAAAAAATGTGGCAGAACGGAGAGCCCACACAGGTTTACAGACTCTACAGTCTGACTGGAAGAGTTCTGAGTACCTGTAAGTGCATCTATATCTAATATATTTGAAGAATGAAAGATTAAAGAGAAAAAATACTACAGCATGAATTGTAAACTCTAAAGGATATGGCAAGGGTTTATATTCCTGATTTGTGTTGTTCATAAAACCAGTTCTGTTTCTTTGTATTGTCTTTTTCTCATACTACATCTAACCTATTTACACAGGTATAGGCATAGAGCATCTTACAGTGTGACTAAGTGTTTATACAGCACACATGCACTTAAGCAATGCTTCTCAATCCTGCAGTAATATGTGCTTCACTCTCCTTATATTTTGAAGATAATATGCAGGGAATAGGATGCACTGAACCCACTATCATTCCACAGTACTGTACAGGAACAGAAGAGAGGCAGTGTGTTCTCCAATTGCCTAAAGTTTGATTGGCTCTCATAAGGGAAGCATAAATCTCATCAAAAAAAGAAATATCATCAGTTTTCACACTTCTGAAAATGTTTTCAAGTCTCAATGACCACATTATCTACTTATATGTGCATTCATCAGCTTTAGGTACAATTACTTCACATGAAGATGTAGCTATATATTTCAGTTTTTCAGAAGACCATGGCAGAAAAATCATTAAGAGTTAGCATGGCAGTAGTTCAGAATGCAGATGTTTAAATGAAGAACATTTTAGATGACAAGTTTTATCTGAGTCTATATAATGCTAATGTTTATGTCAGTTTGAATTGAGTCCTCTTGTATTGCTTTCTTCCTTTGAATTTTGAGATTACTTTTACTTGAATTCATGTGGAATTTCTTTCATATTTGCTGTATTTCGTTGGAGTTGGGAGCCATCTGTGTAACTATAATGGTCAACCACATCTGGCACCATTTCCTTTGGAGGGAGTTTAAGCATTGCTAGATTTGCATTACAAGGTCATATGAAAACAATTCCTCCAAACCTTTTATCCAAACGAATTGTTTTCTTGGATACTGACTAAATAATAAGAGTCAACTGACAAATTAATACTTGTTCTTTGAAAACTTTTCAGATCCAGTTCTGCAGGCTTGGCTTTGGCAAAATTCCCATCAACGTCAAATAAATTTCCTAAAAATAACATTAGCAAAGAATGGGTTTATGCCTCTTTTCCTCCATTAAAAAAAAAAAGGAAAAAAATAAATTATCTGGCAACTGCAGACACTGGTCTATCCACTGCTAGCAACGGGTAAGCTGTGGTAAAGTTGCACTGTTCAAATAAGCAACCAAAAATGCTGGCCATTAAAAGGTGGTTGTAATGAAATGATCCATTTCTCTTTCCAATTCATTGTTACAACACTGAATGATTCTGTGCTCTTGATCATAACCTCACCTGTTCGTTCCTTCTCTTTGAAATAGTTACTGATTGCAACTCGTTCTGAAGATGGAGGCATTTTAACTGCTCCTCTTTAAGACGTACATTCAGTTCATCACCTTTGCTAATAAAACATCATGGAAGGTCTTCAAATTGTTTAGGCTCTATAAAAAGGAAGGAAGGAATATTAAAAAAAAATAAAATAAATCACACCTAGTAGAATGTTACAACACTGTATATTCCAATGGTGGTCTCTCATGGCAGTATTTAATATATATTCTGAATGTGGTCAGCAGGAGACACTCTTGATCCAAGTAACTGAAAGCAACTTTCTTTCCACATGGCCAAGAGAAGGTGGCACTCTTGGTGCTCTCATGAATATTAAACCCTCAGTTCAGTCATGATGAAAACAACCAAGAAATACATCTGTTCAGCAATTAAAAGATTTTGCTGTGGTTACAGTGGTTAGACATGCTGACCAAAAAACACTGCAGTAGCAAGCAAAAATGAATGTTGACCACAGTTATGCTAATCACAGAGATTGCCACAGCTCTGTTAACCCTTAATTGTAGATATATCATAGTTTCATAATCCTAATACACTCAATTCCCTACTAGCAGTATTTTAACAAGGGCCTTCTGATTTCTTTTACATTTTCATTTACTTCAATGGATTATATTAAGGTATATTTAACCAATTTTATATTAAATTGAGGATGCTGATAGAATCTCTATTTCTAGAATATTAGTTAATGTTATAGTGCCTACATTCCACAATGCTTTAATAAGGCCTTATTCATTAAGAATTTTAATGTAAATCACATGCAAAGTATGATTTGAAACAAAACAGTCCACAAGCCAATCTTCTGTTTAACAAAATGATTATATGAAAATACATATGTGAGTATAGATAATGTTTAATGATTGCAGACAAAAGACATTTAGCTTCATTTTTTCTATATAATATCCCTACAAAGTAGTTAAATGAATGTGAAGAAGTTGAATGTGAATCCTGTAGATTGTTCAGGTTCACTTGCAGTCTGAATATACAAGAAACAAACAAAAAACACATGAAAAACCAATCACCAAACTGATCTTCAACCTTTCATATCTCATTTCTGAGTAAGGAAAATATTGTGGAGAACAAAAAAATATCAGCAATCTTGTTTCAGAGAGTTAATAATGTATATTGCTCAACAATTTTTAACAATCTTTTTGCAGTGCTCTTCTTGCTCTGTCCTATATCTGTGAACTCTATTGAAGTAACTTCAAAAAATTACAACCTTCAAAAGCATTTTTACAAGTAATTTCATATCAGTCCATATTTTTTCCTTTCTTAACAAAATCAGAGTCCTTAAAGTCTGTAAACCTTCCAACTGTCCAAGTGAACTCATCTGTTCATCCATCTCTGTTTCAATTTTTTTTCTGAAGTTCTTTTCCATTTCAATAACTTGTGTCACTCCAACCACAATATAGGGAGAAAAACAAACGAATTAAACACCTTGGCAAAGATGCCTTTCACAGACCATTTCATCCTCATCTCTTTCCTTCATTACCAAAAGAGCTGAAGACAAATCCAGCAATCGTATTTTCTACTGAACAATCTCATTAAAAACACTAAAAACATTCTCTTGAAAAATCTCCTTGCTTCCACTTCATTCTATTTCTTCAGTCTCTCTGCTACTCTCCTGACCATTTTGAATTAGCTTTCCTCATTAACTTTAAGGGGACCACGACTTCACCCTCATTATTTTTATATTCTTCCAAAATTCATTTTTTACCTGGATCATCTTCTATATCTGTCAGCACATTTTCCCATTATACCCAAACTGTTCTCTATCCTGCTGCCCCTGGAGTATCCCAAAACTCAGGTCATGACAACAATCAGGAGGATAATTTTAGGTTAATGTTTCTAGTCTGGAATTCTCTTCCTTTGGGAAACACGTCTTGATATTGTTGTCAGTTAGAAATAACTCTTTTAAAGAAAATGGATATACACCTTCTAGAAATACTGCACGAATGAATATCAACTGCTCTCCATTGCAGTTGTGAAACTACTGTACCAATAGTTCAAAAGAATTGACCCTCTGTAGTATTTTACCTTGCAGTTCCACAGATTAACACATTCCATATTATAAATCATGAAATACTGAAAACTCAGTCTGTAATTAAAGCAATTAAATATACCAATGGGATAAACTGCATACTCCTAGCAGTTTCAGGGTCCCTGGTTCCTCTAAGCAGATTGCACAATTCCTTCATTCAACTGGCTACATTAAAATCCTACAGCAACAAAACTGTCTGGTAAATGTTTGGTAGGAAGCTCAACTTCAGCATCATTAGATGCAGCAGGATTAGAGGCTCCTATCATTCTGTGGTTTCACATTTTGGGCCGACTCAAGTTCAAAGATGAACATGGACATTATATGGGTTTCAACTGGTAGAAACGGAAAGTAAATGATAATGAACTCAATAGACAACAAAAAAATCAAGATAAACACAAAAAGAACTAAAACCTGCTGTGTTGATAAGAATGTTATATGCCATCTAAACTAGAAATTTTGGATTTTACAGTTATTCACATTTAGTAGACATGTTTCAAACATTCAAATGATTGGAAATCAGAAAACCATTGCAGGCATTCTCTTACAACAAAAAAGAGACAGAACACTCACTCATCGTTATTCAAAATGCACCTTTCACTGTGAATATTAGAAACAATGTCTTCAAATACCAGTTTAAATCCTGTGCATGTGTTTCCATTCAGCTGCTGCCAGGAAAGAGGCACAAGCACTTGACGTTTGTTGTAAATTACCAAAAAGTGGCACATGATTTAAAATGGAACAGTTCACTTATCGCTTTCTATTTAAGAACAGAAAAAGCCATGTGAAACCTGTCTCCCCTGGAATTTACACTCTACATAGCTCACCCTACGAAAAATTAGATTTGAGCTATTAACAGGAGAGCTGCTTTGGCAGGGAGGATATAGGTATTACACCAAAGAAGGGGAGGGAGGCAAAACAAAGCAAAATGTAGAAACAGAACAACACAGGGAAAAAAAGGAACGGAACAAAAATCTAATGTCACAAGTGTTATTTAGCATGCTAAAATAATAAGCAGTAGGCAGTAGTAAGAGTTCACAAGAATATTAAGTGCTTCCACCTCATAAGGCTAGGAAACTTTATAAAGTTCTATTGCAGTTAGTACTCCTACTTACAGGAACTCTCCAATTTCCAAGCTATTACCAAATCACCTCTGTCTGGACATGCAGTTCTCCAAAGACATATAGGAAAAAGGAGACAAGAGCTGAATAACTAAAACCTATACAGAATCTACCATGCAATTGCATGTTCTGGGATATTTTCATAAAAATGCTCTTTTTATAAGGAAAGTTATTACTTACAGTAGCCCTCTAAAATAATTTCCATGAACATATGAACACAAGTTATATCCTAATGCAAGACAAAGAGCCAAACCTGCTCTACTTCATCAAAGACTGATAAAGTGAGGGGGGGGGGTCAGCATATTTAAGGCAAAATCCCCTGTTTAAATCATGAGTGTCTTTCAATAGCCAGATAACTCAGTTCATTCCTCACAATCTGCTTCAGATGACTTTGCAGATAAAATCATTAAAGACCTGTTATACCCTTCTGAAAAAAAAAAAAAAAATTTAAGATGAAAAATCCTTACTCTGTTTGGAGTAGCTTGAGAGAAACGTAGTATGTGGTACATTTTTATGTCCTTAGTATTGACTAGAAATCAAGGACTGGGTATATTTTTTTTTCCATTTAAGCAGGCTTACGTGATGAGAGCACGGGAATGTACTGATCAAGTTGCAATTATCTCTTGAAGCTAGAGAAATTTTCCTCCCATTGCTGAAAGAGCACTGCTTTTCTCAACCAGCTGTTAGTGGACCTTGATCAATTCCAAATTGTCCTGAATGTTTAGCCTTCAAAATTAAAAAGAAATGCATCATGAGCTTAAAAATACAAAATGAATTACATTATTTTTGTTTTGAAAACTTGAAATATTTTGCAAATCAGCTTTCTACAGAACATTTGGAGAGAAGATTTAGTGTGTAAGACCCAAATTAATTTATTTTATAATGTACATTACAGAATTTATGTAAATGAAAATGATGACACAGCAACTTCAATCTATACATCGACATCTTTGACTATTGTATAAAACTGTACATGACAGGAAAACACCCCTATACCTAAACAGATTATTTGTTTTCCATTCACTTTTCCACCTTCTGAAGTATTTGATGCAGTAGCATACCATTTTATGGAGTTTCCTTCAGGAGTTTAAACCTACCAAATATTGCTAAGAAAAAGTGACTCAGCAATTCATACTGTAACACCTTAAGGCTGGTACTCAAACAAGCTGCAGGTTTGTCTTAACTACATGAAAATAACTTAGTATTTCCGTAAATATTGTTACAATGCTAAGATTACAATTCTAAGATCTGAGAATGCACTGTTTAATAGAAAGGATGCTTAAAAATCATTAAAAATTTAAAGAAATATTTATTTAGATGTTTTCCCTTACTTCAAACAGTGCAACTAAACTCCATTATTTTCAGTTTCTTCAAGTATGTGAAGAGAAACTGATTCTGATCTGTATTAATATAAATTATTATAAAATCAGAATAAATCTTTAACATTTGAAAAGGTAATTTCTCTTCCAATATTTATCTCTTTTAGTCATATTGGACGAATTGTCACAATGCCACGCTGGAGCAAGACAATGGACTACAAAGCTTACACATCTGTAAACCAGCTGAGTACATGAAATATTTTCCTTTTATTCTTTAAAATATCAAATGCTATCCTGTTTTGGCATTGCCCAGTTAATTGTCCTTACTTAGAAGATAAACAAACTTACAAATTTGAGATCTTCACCAAAAAACAGGCCTAACTCAATGTTAAAACCATCATGTGTCTAAAACATGTTATCTACATAAATTAAAGTTGTGGTGAGCATAGACAGCAGCAACTGTCTCATGCTAGCTATTTAAAAGCTAATGTAGTGGCACGTTTTTATTAATCTTGTTCCACACATCAAACAAAAGGCTCTGATGCCTTCAAAGGCTTTTTTTTTTTTTTCTTTTTCCCCCCTTCTTTT